GGGAGGCAGTGTGTGGTATGGGGGGGCAGTTTGTGTAATGGGGGGGCAGTGTGTGGTATGGGGGGGCAGTGTGTGTAATGGGGGGGGCAGTGTGTGGTATGGGGGGCTGTGTGTGTAATTGGGGGGGCAGTGTGTGTAATGGGGGGGGAAGGATGCTTTTAAATAATATTTTTATTTATTTTATTTAATAAAATAAATATCCTATGTCCCCCCTCCCTTCTTACCTTTACTGGGGAGGAGGGGGGACATATTTCGATCCCTGGTGGTCCCAGTGGTGATTCCCTGGTGGTCCAGTGTGGAGAGTGAGCTCTAGCCCGCGCTCCCGGGCTAGAGTTCACTCTCGCGAGATTTGGAGCGTTGCCGTGGTAACCGCGGCAACGCTTCAAATCTCACGAGAGGAGGACCCGGAGGAGCTGCAGACTGAGCTCCCGGGTCCTCCCTCTCCCTCCCCTGCCGGCCGCCAGCACAGTGCCTGCGGACCGGGGAGGGAGATCTCTGATCATCCTCCCGGTCCACAGGCACATTGCAGGGCTGGCAGGGGAGGGAGACCGGCGGATTTCTCGGGGGGGGCAATTGCCCCGTTGCCCCCCCCTTGGATCCGCCAATGCAGGGGGCCCAAGCAAACACTTGCCCAGGGTCCATTCGTTATTAAAGACGGCCCTGGCAAGCCTCCCCCTTCTAACTCTGCCCAGACTTTCTGTGGCTGTCGAATCACAGGCTTCCCAATGCAGCTCAATGACTTTGAAAGGAAGGTGCTCTGGGCAATTGCTGCCTCTTGAGTTTAGTTCCACTCAGCTACCCAAACCAGGAAGTAACAGGACCTGTCGTCTGACCGAAAGCCAAGAGCATGTAACAAGGTTCATTTATAAAAGTGATAATTTATTTAAAAAAAAAAAAAAAAATTAAGAATCTGACACACTGTTTAAACATAGAGCATCTGTGCAAGTTAAAGTGCTTTCGGGGTCCAGAGTCCCTTTAACAATGAAAACTCCCAAAAAGTAAAGCAACTCATTGATGGCTGGTACAGGCAACAGACAATGTAGTAACAGGAAAAAGTCATGTTCAACAAACCAGATAGTTAAATAAACAAGAGACAGGCCTATTGTCAGTACAGAAAGCACTCTATTGAATAATAGGAAAATGTCGAGATCAGTTAGACAAGTCTGGAAAAAACGAGAGGAAGCAATGGAATATGAACTGGAAGGATAAAAGACCCTAACCATCTGGTGCCAATTTATATTTCAATTAAAAAAAAGATTAATTTCAGCGCATGCACACAGGTAATGCTTCCACAGCAAGATTTCTGTCTCTGGACAACTCTTTAATATGAGATGACACAATGGGACACCACATAGAATTATGATACATTTAGTCAACGTAGTCAGAATTAAAGGGGAGCTATCACTTCTCAGGATTTGTTATTTTCTGTTTACTTATTATCAATATTTTACAAATAAGTGGTTGTGATTTCTGAAAAATGTAATTAAATGTAGAAATCCACACTGCTTGTGTCTTGGAGCTGGGCACCTCCATCTTGGCTCCCTGCCAATCACTATTGTAAGCTCCGCCCTTTTGTGCCATTTAACATAGAATGTGGAGGACGAGAAAAAGAAGCAAGCCCTCCCCCAATTTAGTGTGTGCCTTGACTGTGCCAGGATTGAACTAAATTCTGATGACAATTGCTACATTTTTATTAATATACATTTAAGAGAGAACAAAGTATCACATGAAAAATAGGGTTAACAGAAGCTACAGGTGATTTTCAATATTTTATGCAATGGTGTAATTTCAAGAAAGTGATAGTTTCCCTTTAAGCGTCACGGCATGACAAAGTCTTAGACGTTGGAAGATGGCGGACCTTGAGGATGATTGAAACTAGGAAATGCTGATAAGAGAAAGAAACTGGGGCCAGTATTCTCAAAAATCTGGCAGTCATTCTGTTGTTCTCTGGTGGACTTTTTTGTATGCATTTTTACCAAATATCCTCATCTGCACTTCAGAGAAGCAGCTGCCAATATACCAGCCATTTCCGACACTTGTCCAAGAAAATAAGTGCACAGTGAGGCAGAAAATGGCTGATTGAAGCAAACCAAGTCTTAGGTCTCATGAGAAATGTGCTCGCTACGTATCCTCAGTGTAAAATAACCACTTCATTGCAAAACTTCACAAATCCAGAGCGTTGACTGCAGGAAGAGAAGCTCCATGTGCCCTGCAGATATAAAATAAGAGTTATTAATAAACATAATACATAATTAGGTTTTGTGAAAATAGAAACGTTCTTCCAGAAGGGCTCTTAGTATTATTGCTGCAATTGTCACTGCTCTCACCAGCACTCTGTACAGTAAACCAGTAAACCAGAGAAACTGGTAAAGGAGCCAATTTCTTAATCCGTGTTCACCGCCATGTTCCTATCACTCTAACAGTGTTATTAACTAATGTGTGGATTTTCGTGGATTCAATGTGAATTCAAAGTGAACTTTAACACATTTGGCCAAAGTAATGCAAAGACATGGAATCCCACAGCACAAATCAGCATTAAAGGTAAAAATACAAAGACGGATTCCTAACACCCCGCTCCCTCCCTTCGTCACTCAAATGGTTAAATAGCCCTTTACACACTCCCTTTATTCCAGCGCCGAGGACAAGGTCGCCGCATGAGTTTAAATCATCTCTATCCAAAAAGTTACACAGTTTACCTGCATAAAAACAGCACCCCTAGTGGCAGGATTAAATACATCTAGTTTAAGATATACAGTTAGAATTATCCATGTATTGATCAGGAAATCAGTTGACCATGTCCACAAATCAATAATAATCTAACGGGATAGCAGCACAGAGCAGGTCACAGGGCAAAGTGACCCCTCTGGTGGTAAAATACAGTCACATCCCCTCTACTGTGCTTGTTGACAGCAGAGTAGCATTTAAAGTGTGTGCTTATTACAATGAATTAACATCCCAAAATGAAGCTTCCCTGCTTGTTCCATTGATGTGTATAGCATTGCCTTGTATCAGCATAGAGGCCTTCTGTAAGAGGTTAAAAGGGTCTGTCTGCAGCTCTTGTTGACCAACAGCCAATCTGTTCTGTAGAGATGACTTATAGATTTAATGTAAGAAGGAGGGCTTTAAGAGTGGAAGAATTATTGGCTCCTATTGATCACAAGCTGACCCCTTTAATGCAGAATCTTTGCCAAAAGCTAAGGTATGTTGAATAGGGGGGAGAGGGGTGGGAGGGAGCATTCATTGAAGAGGACTTTTTCCTTCCCCCCCTGTTGCTGTACATAAAAACTCATTTAACTCATAAAAACTCATGTACATTTAACATTTCTTTCTTATAAAAAAAAAAAAAAAACAACAATAGATGTAGCTGTATGATGGTAATCATGGTGATCAGAGACAAGGCATACTTGGAAAGAGCTCTTGCCTATCAAGTGATCGTGCCCTGTCCACCGTGTCTCGACTCCCGCCGCCCGCTCTGTGTGGGCACATCTCATTGTTTTTGCATCAATATGTCATCAGTGGCAGGTCTATAGAAAATGAATTTTTAATTATTATTAATTGGAAGAAACCCGGGATTGCTTGAGCCAGCGGCACTACAGCACCAGTCCCTGAATTCAGAAGGTGGAAGCAATATTTATGGCTTTTCCAGCTCGAGTGGCCCTCGGAAAGCCAGAGGTGGAATTTATTTGCATCGAATCAATACGTGTAATCAAGACAACATTGTAAAAACCGTCAGCGGCAAAAAAAAAGCCGTTACATTGTTACTACTGTAGAACAGTCTTCCAGGCAGAGTCTTGTGTGATTTCCCTTTACTTGTAATTACGTTATAGTTTGCCCAGAAGGGTAAACTCTGATCCAATCTGGAAATAAAGTGAAAAAGAATAGAAATGAACGAGGGGTGGATGGAGATGACAAATGTATACTGTATAAACCCCAGGAGTGAACGAGAAGTCTGTAATGTGTTTATTAGCTCCTTACATAGGGGTGACAAAGAGGCAGAGAGAGACTGGACAGCTGGCATGAGCGGGAGACACGAAACAAACATGTTTAAATGACCAGGTGCATTTTCTTAAAGGGGAAGTCAGGCTTAAACATCAGAAAGGAAATGTTGTGTCCTGTTGTAGAGCAGTTTGAAGTAAACCACCTGAGTTATTCTGGTGAATGAGGACAGGATAGCGCTACACGGGGAGCTAATCAATCAGGTCTGTGTGACCGTGTTGTGATGACATCAGAGCATTGTATTCTCCAGCTGTGAGAATAAGGATCTAACCTGCAAACACAGTAAACCTTCTCTATATCCCTCTGTTTTTGACTGTTAGGAAGACGTATCGTTAGAGAGGGAAAGAGAGTAGGCAAGAGACAAAAAGAATATTCAGGTAACCCACACAATGTATCGACAGTTCCGGGTGAGTTTTGGAATTCAGTTGGTCAGTAGATCTGTCGTCGGGATTTTTAGGTTCAGCCAAATCATTTTCCCCAAAACTGAAATTTTGTTCACGACATCCAACGCTTGTTCATGTGACGGTCTCGGCTTGGCAAACATCGTTCATGAAAAACTATTCAGGAAGACATTCGAACAAACCAGAGTGTAAAAATGGGCCAATCAGTGTACAGGAAAAAATATTTATAATATGAATATATACTATGTATATATTTCGCAGTACACTAATAAATACATTTTCAATGTATCTGCTTTTCAATGTATACAACATCTATAATTGTAAATTATATGTATTTATTAAATTTATAATGTATTAATAAATAGACTTCTGTTTTACTGATCCTCCTTTTTTTGGTTCTACACATCATTTCTCACTTTGATCTGTGAATAAAATCAATAAATTGTCCCCTAGTCATCAATCATATTTTTCCTGTGAATTATCTGTTATTTGTGATGCCACTGGTAGAAACCCTAGTCTAGAAGGATCCAAATATATTGGAGCATCGACTTGTCGTTTGCTCGGTTTTACGTCGGCATGACGCTTTAGGAGGATACGGAATTTGGCAGAACAGCTTTTTTCCCCCCAAACACATAACGTTTGTAACATTTGTAAAACTTCCATTTTATTAAAGAAATCATTACCTTGCCAGATCAAAAGCACTTTGTGATGTCAATAGCAATTGAGATGGTTATAAACTACATTTCCCAAGATGCTCACAAATGTTGGAAGAACACGGTCTTCTCTAAAACAATCAGCACCGAAATTCTTAGTCCTCATTGTACCACGCACTCATTCATTGCTGTATATTTTAATTAGCCTTCTGTATAATACCAATAGATTGACATACATATACTTTGTTTGTTTTTCATTTTGGATGGAATTCATGCTTAAGTTAATATTTTGCTGAAAGATTGGCAATTGTAATCGTTTTGTTGTGTCCTAATGATAGTGTGATTACGTTATTCTACCGACAGGCACCTACAAGTGAACTAAATGACATCCCGTAATTGGAAAAGTTGTCACTTTTGCCCACTTTTAGTGATTTTGGGAGATATGTACAATGACCCTATTTTTGTCATCAATACAAGAAAGTTGAGGGCTGTCAGCGTGCTATAGTTTTGCAAATCATACTGCGTTCTCCTAGGTGACCTGATTTGAAGCAAAATGCAGAATGTGTGAAACCATTCTGTCATCTGCGTTCGCAGCTCATCACAGAGGTTAACGGGCTCCTTGTGAAGCGAGTGTATTTGCTTATAAACTACACCGCTGCCTGTGTTTGACATCTGCACAGTTAGAAGGTCAGACATACCTCTTCAGAGAACACAAGCTGATGATTAAAAAAATAAAGCAAAAAAACACAAAACCGTACTTAATCTCATTAAAATGATTTCTTGCAAACCAGCCTAGTGAGAAAAATAAACAAAAAATACAAAAATTAGGTGACTATATTCACTAATATGCAATTTGCTGGGAATTGTTTTAACTGATCTGAAGAATTTTGGCCAAAATATCTAACATGGATTTTTACTAAAGTGCGGATTGTTGTGAAGTAAAAATGAATTAAAGAGAATTTCAAGTTTAAATGGAAAAAAATATCAAAGTCAGTTATGTTTCCAGTCCAGCAATTTTGGGCTTAAATGTGTAATTGACTTTAAATTCACTCTGAATTCCCCAAATTTCTTACATTAGTAAATAAACATAACATAAAAACATTTCACATGGACAAAGAGGGAGTATTATTGCTGTGGAGCTCTGTTATACACTCAGACACATTACTGGGAGTATTATTGCTGTGTAGCTCTGTTATACACTCAGACACATTACTGGGAGTATCATTGCTGTGGAGCTCTGTTATACACTCAGACACATTACTGGGAGTATTATTGCTGTGGGGCTCTGTTATACACTCAGACACATTACTGGGAGTATTATTGATGTGGAGCTCTGTTATACACTCAGAACATATTACTGGGAGTATTATTACTGTGGAGCTCCATTATACATTCAGACACATTACTGGGAGTATTATTGCTGTGGAGCTCTGTTATACACTCAGACACACGTACAATATGGAGCTCCCAGAAAAGAGGGACATTACAATAGAAAAGAGTGACAGACGGATTTGGGGCCAAATAGGGACTGTCCCTCCTATATAGGGATACTTGGGAGGTATGGTCACAGTGTCTCATTTCCATACTGCTGTAAGCCTTATTGAAGATTTTACTTTATTCAGTGTGCAATTTAACTAGAAAAAAAAAAAAGTTCCTCAATTTCAGGAATTGGATTACGATTGCCACCATCTTCCCAGCTTACTCTACAAACAAACCTAATTTTCTCAGGACTTCAATTAGGATGTGAACTGAAGGCAGCTCACTAAATTCACTTTATTTGGATGTTTTTCCACCACAAACTGGTCACATCTTACACCAGTGATCACCATTACTTTTACCATCGCTTGGTTAGATTAAATTTCTTGTGAATATGGATTTAATCTCATTTATAGAAAGAAAAATTCTGATGACAGTCCATTTTTTATGCAGCT